CCTGTCGTTCACAATAGGCTTTCATTAGTTTACTAAGTGGTGTATGCCTCTTAATCTTAAACTGCACCACAGAACCATCCTGCCCCGCCACCTTCAAATTAATATGATCGTTGTTCTCAGTCTTGACTCCTTCCTTGGGCTTTTCGTCGGCCATGGCGAGCGCCGGAGTCTCCTCAGCTGCTGCTTCACAAAAGAGGTACCAGGTCCGCACCAAACGAGCACACAAGCAGCACCAGGAGCGGCAGAAGAAGCCAGGCCTCTATTCTTATATAGTAAAAGGGTAATATGCAAATTGACCCTAAAGGCAGAACAACCAGAACGACCGCTGGACCAGTCACTGTTGAGGTGCACTGACCACCTCTTGGTTTCTTTTCACAGCCAGCAGGCTCTGATCGCCTGATGGCGAACAGGGAACGGGGGTGGGTGGCTGGGGATGCAGGCGGTGCCAGGCCAAGGCCCCCACCCAGCCAGTCGCCCCACACACAGAGGGCGACCCGTGGCGGGGCAGAGCCTGCGAGCAGGTGGGAACAGCCAACCTCTCAATCCGTTCCCTCAGCCGTCAGGCACCAATCACTGGATGGCGAAAGGGGAACCAGGGGTGAGTGGCGGTGGGGGCAGGGCCAGCTGTGGGCAGCCGGGGAAGATGGCCCTGATCGCAGGTCAGGCCTAGGGACCATACCTGCACATGAATTTCGTGTGCTGAGCCTCTAGTGTAGATAATGATATACTGGATCAGGTCAGCGCTTGGGACTTAAAATTAGATATTTTAGTTCGCAAGTACGAAGAATTTATTTCACAAATATTTGCTGAATTCATGCATTGTGCTGGGGCTAGGAACACAGTATCAGACAAAGCAGGCATGATACCTTCAGGGAACTTGTACTTGAGTGGAGGTGGAGGGCAATAAATAATGCCACACAAAATGAGGTAATCTGATAGTGGTGAGTGCTATAAAGATATGGAGAATATGAATTAAGAGTAATCTGAATAGTAGAAATTGAATGTCAGAAAGATCTATGTTACCTTTGAGGGATTAAAAAGACAAAATAATTAGAGAATAGTGAGGAGGATGAAGGGAGATGAAATGAAGCAGGATAAAAGTATTCAGGGACTATTCTAAATTATGACAGTATTTTACTGCTATTTGTATGACCCTTTAAGAAGATGGATTTTTTTTAAGCCCAAAGGTATTTCTTCTTTGTCGTACCCCACCTCTGGTGATACAAAACAAATTTTACTAACTTGCTGCCTGTACTAATTTTTGGTGTTCTAGTTCTAAGTTTAATAACTGTCAACATTGTTTTATTGGTTTCTGATTCAGGAATTTTTTCTAATAATGTATTTATTTCACTCTAGCGCCATTCTTTTTAAATTTTAGCAGCCATGCTCTTATAGGAAATTTTAGTTGTTTATTTAGTTTAACTCAAGAATTAAAATAGAGAATTTCCTACATTTTGTGTTTTTTTGTTTTTTGTTTTTTAATATATTTTATTGATTTTTACAGAGAGGAAGGGAGAGGGATAGAGAGTTAGAAACATCGTTGAGAGAGAAACATAGATCAGCTGCCTCCTGCACACTCCCTACTGCAGTGATGGCGAACCTATGACACGCGTGTCAGAGGTGACACGCAAACTCATTTTTTTGGTTGATTTTTCTTTGTTCAATGGCATTTAAATATATAAAATAAATATCAAAAATATAAGTCTTTGTTTTACTATGGTTGCAGATATCAAAAAATTTCTATATGTGACACGGCACCAGAGTTAAGTTAGGGTTTTTCAAAATGCTGACACGCCGAGCTCAAAAGGTTCGCCATCACTGCCCTACTGGGTATGTGCCTGCAACCAAGGTACATGCCCTTGACCAGAATCGAAACTGGGACCCTTGAGTCCGCAGGCCAACGCTATATCCACTGAGCCAAACCAGTTAGGGCTACGTTTTGTTTTTTGTATATTACTGAAATATCTAACAGATTTTTGTCAAAGATTAGAAGATTAGTATAAATAATAAGATTAAAGACATACTAAATAAGCAGATGCTTTGATTTTAAAAGGTGGATGAAAAGTTATTTAATGTAGTTGATTGAATTCAGATAATAGCTTATATATTTACTAGAGGCTCTGTGCACGAATTCGTGCATGGGTGGGGTCCGGCTGGCCCTCCCCGATTGGGCTGATCGTGCCCAGCTGGCAGGGGGGTAGGGACATGGGAGGGTGGCCGGCTGGCCCAGCCCCCAATCGGTGGGGGGGGGCGATTGGGGGTTGGGCCGGCCGGGGGGTTGGGGCCGCAGGCAGTTGACTGGCCGGCCCCTGGTCGAACTCCTGGTCGAGGGGACAATTTGCATATTAGCCTTTTATTATATAGGATTCTGTAAGGAGATTAATCAACTCTTGGGATTATCTTTAATACATGAGTAAGGGTCCTTTGAAGTGTGTAGCTATTAACAACTTGGCTAATCGTATTTATTAGAGGGAAAGATTAGGAAAAGACAAGGATGTTACTATATGCATAGTCCTGTGGAAAAGAAGACAATTATATTTATCGAGCTTCTCACACAGATCAAGTGTTCTGTTTAAAACCTAGTTTCAGTTTTCCCCTGAAATTATATATAAATGATGAAAACTTTGAAGAGGATTTTAACATCTCACTTATCTGGAGGTCATTCTCTGCTCTCTGGAACACAGTTGAGAGCTAAGAATTGAATTAAATGGAGTTTTGAATTATTACATATTACCTGGTAATATGTAACTGCACATTTATGACATTAACATAAGGCTTACTAAAGTGATTCTGCCATTTACCACATGATCAACATCAGATAGGACATTCAGCCAAGTGTTCCCCCATCTACAAGAGTGAGCATATAAAACTGATAGTCGTGAGGAGTGTGTGATGTTGTGTATGTGTATTTGCTCTATAATCCATAAAGCACTATACAAAAAATCAGGGCTTTGGCCCAACCGGTGTGGCTCAGTGGTTGAGCATCGACCTATGAACCTGGAGGTCATAGTTCGATTCCCGGTCAGGGCACATGCCCAGGTTGTGGGCTCGATCCCCAGTGTGGGGTATGTAGGAGGCAGCCAATCAGTAATTCTCTGTCATCATTGATGTTTCTATATCGCTCTCCCTCTCCCTTCCTCTCTGAAATAAATAAAAATATTTTTTTTAAAAACAAAATCAAATATCAGGGCTTTAAGATGGTTTCTTCAGTTAGAAGTAAGGAACAATTGGTCAGAACATTGAAATAACTATCTGACTTCTCAAATTGGAACAAATAAGTGGTGGTAAATTTGAAGAAGCAAAGATTAGTAGTAGAAAAAACACTAATAATATTTACTGAGCGTCTCCTTTCTGCTTGGTACTCTACTAGACACTAACAGAACAAAAAATTACTTTTTACAGATTAGGAAACTCAGACTCATAAGTGTTACATGACTTACCCAAGATTTTGGGCTTGTGAGAGGCTAGGCAAGGACAAAAAACCCTATCTCTTCACATTCAGACTTAGTACTCTTCTATTAAACTGTACTGTAAATTTTGGACCAAAAAGATTAGTTTTCAGGATCAATTCCCGATATAGCACACCTCATTCCTCAGCATAATCTCATAGCTCTGCACCCAGTAATCATACATACTTGTATTTGGACTTCTAAGACTTCTACATTATATTTTTACGTTTCAAAAATTGTACATTAATGTAGTTCTCATCATCATTTTATCATTTAGCATTTTACGGTGTTCGCGGGGAAGGGCCTTGACGTGGCAACACCGCTTCTTAACTAACGCTTCCCCTCTCACACCTTACTAACAACTTCCTAACCGCCCTATTCTGTCATTGTCTTCACTCCCAGTAGGCTGTCATTAAGTTTTCCTTCCCCATTATCAGTGCCACTGCTTCTTCTCTTCCATGTTCACAGTCTTTTATTTTGAGGGTTGTTTTAGTCATTCTAGTTATGCCATTTTCTGCAGTAGCCTTGGAATTCTGTGTTTCATACGATGAAACAGAATATCTAAAAGCACTCCTTTGCATTTCAACACTCAGCGGGTGCTCCTCATTAACAAAACAAAAAATTAAACTTGGACGAAAGGCTTGGTTTTGTTTGTTTTTTACTGAATAGTACTTTAAGTTATGATATAGTCCTGTTGTTGGCCTAAGAACAATGCCTGTGATTTAAGTGTGTTGTGTATATTTGTGTTTAACCACACATTTGATTGGGTATACAGTGTTCTGAGGACAGTACTTCCTTAAAAACATGTTTCTGATTAAAATCTTTGGCATTCAGAAACAGAATGTCAGAATGTCATACTTTAATAGTACAATAGTACTATCAAAATACTTTTCTTTTTAACAAGTTACCTGTCAAGCAAAGGATTACAGTCTGGTATTCCAAAGACATGTGTCTCTTGGCAAAGGGACAGAACAATTTAACAATTTCACAGTAAGACTCCTTCAGATAACAGTTGGAGTGCTGAGACAAGTTTTTGTGTTTGTTTTTATATGTGTGGCAGGATGATGCTAAAATTTCCTAATTATTTTGCCCTTCTAAATGTTTCTTATCCTATACTAGAGGCCTGGTGCATGGGTGGGGTCCCTTGGGGTGGCCTGCGGGGATCGGGCGAAACCCACAGTCCAATGCTGCCTGCAGCTCCTACCTGCCGCTCCCGCTCATCCCAGCCCCACTACGCCTGCTGTGGGCTCACGTCCAATCAGTCCTGATTGGAAGAGGCTTGTGCGCCGCCATTGCAACAGCAGCACTCGCCAGTCATGAGCCCTGCATCTGGCGCCCTCCTGAGGGGAGTGGCCTGCGGAATTGGGCCGAAACTGGCTCTCCGACATCCTTCGAGGGGTCCTGGATTGCAAGAGGGTGCAGGCCAGGCCGAGGGACCCCACCAATGCACGATCGGGCCAGGGAGGGACTGTGGGAGGGCTCCAGGGCATGTCCAGCCCCGTCTCACCCAGTCCCAATCGGCCAGACCCCAGCAGCAAGCTAACCTACTGGTCAGAGCATCTTCCCCCTGGTGGTCACTGCATATCATAGCGAGCAGTTGAGCAGCCTTAGCATATCATTAGCATATTACGCTTTGGTTGGTTGAACAGTCGACTGGTCACCGGATGACTGGACACTTAGCATATTAGGCTTTTATTATATAGGCTAATACAAGACTAATATGCAAATCAACTGAACAATTGGTCGCTATAACGCACACTGACCACCAGGGGGCAGACGCTCAACGCAGGAGCCACCCCCTGGGAGACAGTACACTCCCACAGGCAGAGCACCGCTCAGCCAGAAGCCCTGAGCTGGGCTCACGGCTGGCGAGCGCAGGGGCAGTGGCGGAAGCCTCTCCCACCTCTGCGGTTAAGGATGTCTGACTGCCGGCTTAGGCCCGCTCCCTGTGAGGAATGGGCCTAAGCCATCAGTCGGACATCCCCTAAGGGCTCCCGGACTGTGAGAGGGCACGAATTTTGTGCACTGGGCCTCTAGTTAAAACATATTTACCATTTTTATTGGAATCTAGCTGGCCTATTAATTTTTTTTATATTTAATGTCACTATTGTCATCCATTGTTGGGTTTGAAAATAATAAAAACTACTTCCAGGGCTTTTTAAGAAGGCAAGCCATTGTTTTCCCCCAATTTTGTCACTACTGAGCTAAGAGATTCTTCTCTTTTTCAGCAATGTTAAGGGGAAGATTGATGAAGTTGGTGCTTGAGCTTGTTAGAGATGTGAATCATTATTTTTAAAAGCTCAGGGTTATTCAATATTTGTTTACCTGTGGTATCAGTTTCTATGTTAAATTCATCTTAATTCTTTCTCCTAAGCAGCTTTCAGGTCCATTAAGATTTTTCTTTCCTATAGTAGAAAATATTAATGTTGGAATTACAGTTCAGTGCTTTTATGTCACATAAGAATAAAGCACAAACTTCAAAGGTTTTTTTTAACATGTAGCAAAGAATAAAGTGAAAGTAAGATAATTTTTAGATTTTAAGAACAGTAATATGTAGTTTTTTCCACCTCGGCTTTAGGGTTTACTATTTCATTGCTTTACATTCCTAGCATCCTGCATTCCTGTGACCATTAGCTGTAGCCTCAGCTTTATAAGGAATGGTTGGGGATGGGTTTGGGTGACATATTAAGGAAAGATAAATACTGTGATTTGTAGCCTTTCCATATGGCACATATGTGCAGTCATATGAGGAATGCCTAGGAAGAATCGAAACACTGGCACCTCCTTATAAGAATTTGTGGTTAGCCTTTGCTCCCTTGACTCTCTTTAACTTGAACAGTGACATTCCAGATTGTTCTTGTTTTCAGAGTACATCCAGGCCATTATGATGATGGAAGAATCTGTTCAACATGTTGTCATGACAGCCATTCAAGAGGTACGTTGGAGCTTTGTGCTTACAGCTTGTGAGAAAATAAAGGAGTAAACATGAGTTTAAGTAATACAAGTAGAAATTTAAAAAGAGATTCTTCTCATTAAAAAAATTTTTTTCTTTACACTTAAAATAGAACTTATCTCATTTTTATTAAAGGAAGTCATATTCATTTAAATTTCTCATTTTTATTTAAATCTCGCAGTGTAACTTGCTCAAGTTCACACAGGAAGTAGAGGCATAGTTAGAACTCAGATCTAAGCAGTCTGAATCCAGAGCTCATACCCGTGACCACTCTGCTGTAATGCCTCAGGATTGTTTATTTCAGCATTGTTTCTTAGTACCAAAAATTAGAAGCAGAAAAAACTAACTGCCCAGCATTTGGGGAATGGATAAATAAATTATGTTACAATGATATATTGTAGACATTAAAGCATATTTTTGAAAAATACATAGTGACATAGGGGAAGGCTTATAATATGTAGGGAAATAGCACAGTGAACAGCATAATGCCATTTCTGTTAAACATTAAAGTTAAGATGAATGAAAACAAATGTGCAAAAATGTTAATCATTGCCAAGTGGTGGAATGTTCTATACTCTTTCTTACATTTTCCAATTTTTCTATAATAACAGGCATTATATCTATAATCAGTAATATTTAAAAAATTAAAATCTGTGACCAACTTTTTAAAAATTTTATGACTCTATCCCAAGGAATTATTTAGAAATTCAGACCAAGATTGGGCACAACAGTCACTGAATTTCCCCCACGTTTCCGCTATTTTATATAAACGGAAATGTAGGGGGAAAAAGGTTTGTCCATTGGTGAGCAAGTGATTAAAATATGATACTTCCACTCCATAGAATATTATGTAGCTGATAAAAACTTGTAAAAAACAACACACAAAACAGGGTATCTTATGACAAAGGGAAAACATTTAAACTGTCAGGTGAACAAAGCAACATATAAAATTTGTATGTATAATTAGATTTTAAGAACAGATTATATGTTTACTATGTGCATATTCCTTTTATTCATTTAGCACATACTTGTTGAGTACCTAATATGTACTACGAGGTGTGGTAGGCAGTATGGATACAGCTATGAAAAAGATAGACATGGTCTCTTGACTCACAAAGTGTAAGTCTCATGGGAGAAATGGCTAGACAAGCAATTCAGATACATTCAAGGCATTCAAAATGAAAAGTGCCCATTATGGGGGAAAATATAGGAGTACCTCAAGGGAGTATCTAACTCTGGTTGGGGACATTAGGGAAGGCTTTTCAGAGAAAGTGGCATCTAGACCAAGCACAGAAGGATGAAATAAGGTAAGGAAAGGGCAAAAACTGTACTTAAGTCCAGGAGACAAGAGAAAGCAAGTCCTGTATGGCATGCTGGAGGTATTAAAAAAATGCCGGTAGCAAATATTGTAAGGTACCAATAAGAGGTGAAACAAGAGACAAGATCATTAGGATATTGAGCAGTTTTGTTAAAAGAGTTGGAATTTTGGGAAACGAATAGATTTTAAGGAGAAAATACATTTAAGTCTGTATCTGAGAAAATCCGTGCAATGAGAAGAATGGATTGGAGAAAAACAAGTTAGAAAAAGGTAGCGGAGTAAGAGACTTTAGCTAAATAATTATACAGTGAAGAATGATGGGAGGTGAACTAGGTTATAGCAGTTAGGGTGGACAGAGTTGAAAATTATCAGAGCTTGCATCAATCGGCTAGGTGACTGATGGATTTAGGAGGAGGACAGTAGGTAGCTGGATAAAATTACAAGATTGAAGAAGAGCTTTTGTAAAATGGTTGAGTTTTTATTTAAGGCACATTTTCATTGTGGTAAAATATATATAACATAAAATTTGCCATTATTGACATTTAGTACATTTCGTAATGTTATGGAAACATTACCACTATTTAGTTCCAGAACTTTTTCATCACCACAGAAGGAAGCCCTGTACATATTAAATAGGCAGTCTTCATTTCCTCTTCTCTGCAGCCTCTGCAACCAGTAATCTGCTTTCTGTCACTGAATTTCTCTATTTTGGATATTTCATTTAAATGGAGTCATTGGATGTGTGCCCTTTTGTGCCCAGCTTATTTCATTTAACATAATATTTTCAAGGTTGTGTGGTAGCATGTATCAATATTTTTATGGCTGAATAATAGTCCATTGTCTGGATAATACCACATTTTGTTTATCCATTCATTCATTTGATGGACATTTGGGTTTTTCCCACCTTTTGGATATTGTGATGTTGTCCACATTTACTCGTGTGTTTTTTAAAATACGTTTTTATTGCTTTTAGAGAGAGAAAGACAGAGGGAGAGAGAAACATCAATTAGCTGCCTCCTGCACACCCCTACTGGGGATCTAGTCCACAACCTGGGCATGTGCCCTGACCTGGAATCCAATCAGTGACCTCGTGGTGCATGGGATGATGTTCAATCCACTAAGCCACACCTGTTAGGCTGCCCACATTTATTCTTTAAAAATATTTAGTGTTGCCTTTTTTTTTTTTTTAATAGTATGTTACTTTCCTGTATTTCTTCACATTTATTATATACCTTCTTTTATTATTGATTTTGGGGAGGAAGGGAGAGAGAGAGAGAGAAACATCAGTGATGAGAGAGAATCATTGATCGGCTGCCTCCTGTATGCCCCCAACTGGGGATCGAGCCCACAACTCGGGCCCTTGACCGGAATCGAACCCAGGACCTATCAGTCCACAGGCCGACACTATCCACTGAGCCAAATCAGCCAGGGCTAGTATTGCCATTTTTTACTGAAAAACTCATGTTTTTAAATATTTGGCCACATTTTTAACTTAAAAACTTATCTTTTTAGTGATAAGAATAAAACTGGGCCTACAGAGAAAATGAGTATCAGAATTTAGACCTGTAATTTTAAATGAAGGCATTATCTTGGAATGAAAACAAAGTTCCAGACTGAAAAGTTTTAATGTATAAGAAAATACTCCTTTTACATTTGCATTTTTATTTTAATTTTTATAATTCTGTAGTGGCTGGGTGTTCATGTTTGTTGTGTAAGTATATTATATAGAATGTCTTTTTTGCCTCATAGTTAAAGTCATTTAAATCCTAATTTCAGCTGATGAGTAAAGAATCTCCTGTCTCTGCTGGAAATGATGCCTATGTTGACCTTGATCGCCAGGTATCTAATTTTGCATTGTTTTTATCCATGCAAAGATTGAAAAGGATAAAGTTTAAATATTAATGAAAAGGATGATTCAGTTGAAATTGCTTTTGTAATATATCGGTATAATTCTTTGTGTTTTACCAAAAATTTAAGAATTTAAGCCACTTATGCATACTACACATTTTATTATTGCATAACTCACTTTAAAATAAATTAACTTCTTTAATTTCTTGTAATTTGTGTTTTCTAGTCCTGATTTTTCTTTTTCTATTAGTGATATGTTTCTGTATACTACATTTAACACAATAGATGCTTTTCTGGAAAATTGTATGCATTTTCCATTGGTATAAATAATCTTATGGTTTATTTTATATAATAAAAACGTAATATGCTAAGTGTCCAACCAATCAGTCAACTGTTCTGTCAACCACTCGACCAGTCGCTATGACATGCACTGACCACCAGGGGGCAGATGCTCCAACTGGTAGGTTAGCTTGCTGCTGGGGTCCGGTTGATCTGGACTGGGCGAGATGGCCCCGACCGGCCAGGTCAAGGGACCCCACCCGTGGACAAATTTGTGCACCGGGCCTCTAGTTTATGATAAAAAGATAGTTTACATTTTATTTCACATTATTCTTCAATTGAAGATGTCTCCTCTAACCTTCATACTTAAATGCACTGAGAAACTTAGTCCTTCATTTTTAAAGGAACTCTGTAGGGTGTTTTTATGGTTTTAATGGAAGAGTTAATTTGTAATTTTAATTATTGCATTTTAATAAAATGCAATTAGTTACATTGCCATTCTGTGTTTCAGCTATTCTGGGACATCTGTCCCAAAGCTTGAAGAGAAGCTTTTGTGGTCTTTTTCTTCTTTCATTTCTTCTCCGTAGTTTCTAAATGTTTGGCAGGAAAATCTTAGGGCATGCTATAATTTTAACCCAAGTTGTAATTTGTCCTTCCCTTACTTTGTAGTGTATTTGGTTTTAAAGTTGTTACTCTGAATGAATTTTTTTGTATTTATATTACACAGAGGTTTGGTCACATGAAATGAGAAGCCAATATAATTTTATTTTAATTAATTTTTTCTTTTTAAAAATTAAGTGATTAATTAATTAGTTATAATTGATTAATTGTTCATACTTTGCTAACTTAGAGTTTATATAATGGGCACACTCAGGAATGTTTGGTTTATGTTGAGGATCAGAATAATAAAAGTCTTTTAAAACTGATACACAAATTAACATAAAGTTTTAATATGAATAAAAAACTTGTATTGAAATACACTAGTCCTATATAGTTTAACAATTGAAACCCTTGACCGCTAGCACATACATGTTTTACTAAGGTAAAATTTCTGTTATTTAAGTCAACATTACTAAGAACCAAGTAGCCCAGATAGAAGATGTGTAGGAACACTTGATATGCAGAAAGAAACAAATTCAAAGTACAGAAAAGACAGATTTAGAACTAAAAGGCATTCAAAGTGAGAAGTGCCTTCTTTTGATTCTTGCACAGAGGGTTCTTGATTTCTCCCTGTCCCTCATAAAGAAAAGGGGGATAATGTTTAATTCCCTATTATACAAATGTAATTATTAATTGTTGCCACTTCATATTGAAATGCTTATTGTATCTCTTCGTTTCCAACCAGTTGAAGAAAACTACAGAGGAACTAAATGAAGCTTTGTCAGCCAAGGAAGAAATTGCTCAAAGATGCCATGAGTTAGATATGCAGGTAAGAGTTCTGTTCTGTGTACCACCTGTTTGAAATGTACCGCTGTAAATACCACAAAATGTACTGTGTCCTGCCATAAGTACAGTTTGTCTACAATGCAACCGTAATTAAAGAAAAATAAAGGAAAACACGTTTCTGGTTAAAGATAGACGGAGCAAATACATTATTAATTTCCTTTCCTGAATATTTAACCCTCGGCTTGGTTATAGTAGCACGACACACTACCAGTTTTCACCAATCTCTGAAAACCAGAAGGCAGTTGGAAAAGTCCTGAATGGCTGAAAGGAGTAAAGAATGTAGTGGCCAAGAAGGGAAGGGCAGTCTACTGAAGCAGAACCCCAGGGAGAGCACAGATACAAGGGAAGGCTGAGTGAGGCTGCAACTAGAGGTTTTATGTAGAAGAGTTAAGTCCCATCAACCCTGTCACCCATTGCATATAGAATGACCTATAGCCAGCTTCCCAGTCAGAGCCATCTTTTCCACAGAATTTAAACAGAAACATAGGGAGGTTAGATTGAGTATTAGTATTGCAGAGTGAGGTCCTTTTCATTTTGTTTTGTTTTTCCTGGGTTCTTTAATTTACATAAAGGTCATTTTCTTGTAGATGAAGCCCTAAAGTGAAGCCCTAAAATAATCCCATATAGCTACCAGTTACCCATGCTGTTGACTAATTCTAAATGTGAGGGAAGTCTGCATAACAAAAGATAAAGGATCAAGATAAACCAGAAACTGGCCATAGAGGAAGTGGTGAAGGTTGCAGAGATTTTTCCCTTTTAATCTAATACTGCCAGTAAAATTAGTGATACTTCGTCTGTAAAATAAGGACAAGATGCTGTTTTAAAAAAGGAAAACTTAGAGATCAAGAAACACTTTAGTAAACTTAAAATAGATTTGTCAAAATAAAAATTCAGTAGAATAGTTAAAAGATAAAGTTGAAATCTCTCACAATTAAAGAAAATAAGAAATAAAATTATTTTTCTGGGATTACCTCAAAATGAGGGAGGTGCGGAGAGTTGTGTCAAGGTATAGATTAAACATAATTGACCATGTTTTGATATTTGTTAAACCTGGATAATGGGTACACAGGGATGATAACATTTACACTAGAAGCATTTTACTTTGAAAAGCATAAAAGTTGGTATTGCTTTGATGCATACAGGAAGTTGTGTAATCAAAGCACACAGGTTATATAGTAAATAATATTTAGTCGTAATTTAAATGTTATTTTTAAAATAAATCTTTATTGTTCAAATTATTACAGTTGTTCCTCTTTTTTCCCCCATAGCTCCCTTCCACCCAGTTCCCACCCCATCCCATGCCCTTACCCCCACACTGTCCTCGTCCATAGGTGTATGATTTTTGTCCAGTCTCTTCCCTCACCCCCCACACCCCCTTACCCCCAAGAATTGTCAGTCCACTCCCTTTCTATGCCCCCGATTCTATTATATTCACCAGTTTATTCTGTTCATCATATTTTTTATTCACTTGATTTTTAGATTCACTTGTTGATAGATATGTATTTGTTGTCATGCATGGGATGATGTTCAATCCACTAAGCCACACCTGTTAGGCTGCCCACATTTATTCTTTAAAAATATTTAGTGTTGCCTTTTTTTTTTTTTTAATAGTATGTTACTTTCCTGTATTTCTTCACATTTATTATATACCTTCTTTTATTATTGATTTTGGGGAGGAAGGGAGAGAGAGAGAGAGAAACATCAGTGATGAGAGAGAATCATTGATCGGCTGCCTCCTGTATGCCCCCAACTGGGGATCGAGCCCACAACTCGGGCCCTTGACCGGAATCGAACCCAGGACCTATCAGTCCACAGGCCGACACTATCCACTGAGCCAAATCAGCCAGGGCTAGTATTGCCATTTTTTACTGAAAAACTCATGTTTTTAAATATTTGGCCACATTTTTAACTTAAAAACTTATCTTTTTAGTGATAAGAATAAAACTGGGCCTACAGAGAAAATGAGTATCAGAATTTAGACCTGTAATTTCAAATGAAGGCATTATCTTGGAATGAAAACAAAGTTCCAGACTGAAAAGTTTTAATGTATAAGAAAATACTCCTTTTACATTTGCATTTGCATTTTTATAATTCTATAGTGGCTGGGTGTTCATGTTTGTTGTGTAAGTATATTATATAGAATGTCTTTTTTGCCTCATAGTTAAAATCATTTAAATCCTAATTTCAGCTGATGAGTAAAGAATCTCCTGTCTCTGCTGGAAATGATGCCTATGTTGACCTTGATCGCCAGGTATCTAATTTTGCATTGTTTTTATCCATGCAAAGATTGAAAAGGATAAAGTTTAAATATTAATGAAAAGGATGATTCAGTTGAAATTGCTTTTGTAATATATCGGTATAATTCTTTGTGTTTTACCAAAAATTTAAGAATTTAAGCCACTTATGCATACTACACATTTTATTATTGCATAACTCACTTTAAAATAAATTAACTTCTTTAATTTCTTGTAATTTGTGTTTTCTAGTCCTGATTTTTCTTTTTCTATTAGTGATATGTTTCTGTATACTACATTTAACACAATAGATGCTTTTCTGGAAAATTGTATGCATTTTCCATTGGTATAAATAATCTTATGGTTTATTTTATATAATAAAAACGTAATATGCTAAGTGTCCAACCAATCAGTCAACTGTTCTGTCAACCACTCGACCAGTCGCTATGACATGCACTGACCACCAGGGGGCAGATGCTCCAACTGGTAGGTTAGCTTGCTGCTGGGGTCCGGTTGATCTGGACTGGGCGAGATGGCCCCGATTGCCGGCCAGGTCAAGGGACCCCACCCGTGGACAAATTTGTGCACCGGGCCTCTAGTTTATGATAAAAAGATAGTTTACATTTTATTTCACATTATTCTTCAATTGAAGATGTCTCCTCTAACCTTCATACTTAAATGCACTGAGAAACTTAGTCCTTCATTTTTAAAGGAACTCTGTAGAGTGTTTTTATGGTTTTAATGGAAGAGTTAATTTGTAATTTTAATTATTGCATTTTAATAAAATGCAGTTAGTTACATTGCCACTTTCTGTGTTCCAGCTATTCTGGGACATCTGTCCCAAAGCTTAAAGAGAAGCTTTTGTGGTCTTTTTCTTCTTTCATTTCTTCTCCGTAGTTTCTAAATGTTTGGCAGGAAAATCTTAGGGCATGCTATAATTTTAACCCAAGTTGTAATTTGTCCTTCCCTTACTTTGTAGTGTGTTTGGTTTTAAAGTTGTTACTCTGAATGAATTTTTTTGTATTTATATTACACAGAGGTTTGGTCACATGAAATGAGAAGCCAATATAATTTTATTTTAATTAATTTTTTCTTTTTAAAAATTAAGTGATTAATTAATTAGTTATAATTGATTAATTGTTCATACTTTGCTAACTTAGAGTTTATATAATGGGCACACTCAGGAATGTTTGGTTTATGTTGAGGATCAGAATAATAAAAGTCTTTTAAAACTGATACACAAATTAACATAAAGTTTTAATATGACTAAAAAACTTGTATTGAAATACACGAGTCCTATATAGTTTAACAATTGAAACCCTTGACCTCTAGCACATACATGTTTTACTAAGGTAAAATTTCTGTTATTTAAGTCAACATTACTAAGAACCAAGTAGCCCAGATAGAAGATGTGTAGGAACACTTGATATGCAGAAAGAAACAAATTCAAAGTACAGAAAAGACAGATTTAGAACTAAAAGGCATTCAAAGTGAGAAGTGCCTTCTTTTGATTCTTGCACAGAGGGTTCTTGATTTCTCCCTGTCCCTCATAAAAGGGGGATAATGTTTAATTCCTTATTATACAAATGTAATTATTAATTGTTGCCACTTCATATTGAAATGCTTATTGTATCTCTTTGTTTCCAACCAGTTGAAGAAAACTACAGAGGAACTAAATGAAGCTTTGTCAGCCAAGGAAGAAATTGCTCAAAGATGCCATGAGTTAGATATGCAGGTAAGAGTTCTGTTCTGTGTACCACCTGTTTGAAATGTACCGCTGTAAATACCACAAAATGTACTGTGTCCTGCCATAAGTACAGTTTGTCTACAATGCAACCGTAATTAAAGAAAAATAAAGGAAAACACGTTTCTGGTTAAAGATAGACGGAGCAAATACATTATTAATTTCCTTTCCTGAATATTTAACCCTCGGCTTGGTTATAGTAGCACGACACACTACCAGTTTTCACCAATCTCTGAAAACCAGAAGGCAGTTGGAAAAGTCCTGAATGGCTGAAAGGAGTAAAGAATGTAGTGGCCAAGAAGGGAAGGGCAGTCTACTGAAGCAGAACCCCAGGGAGAGCACAGATACAAGGGAAGGCTGAGTGAGGCTGCAACTAGAGGTTTTATGTAGAAGAGTTAAGTCCCATCAACCCTGTCACCCATTGCATATAGAATGACCTATAGCCAGCTTCCCAGTCAGAGCCATCTTTTCCACAGAATTTAAACAGAAGCATAGGGAGGTTAGCTTGAGTATTAGTATTGCAGAGTGGGGTCCTTTTCATTTTGTTTTGTTTTTTCTGGGTTCTTTAATTTACATAAAGGTCATTTTCTTGTAGATAAAGCCCTAAAGTGAAGCCTGTGATCCCATATAGCTTCCAGTTGCCCATGCTGTTGACTAATTCTAAATGTGAGGGAAGTCTGCATAACAAAAGATAAAGGATCAAGATAAACCAGAAACTGGCCATAGAGGAAGTGGTGAAGGTTGCAGAGATTTTTCCCTTTTAATCTAATACTGCCAGTAAAATTAGTGATACTTCGTCTGTAAAATAAGGACAAGATGCTGTTTTAAAAAAGGAAAACTTAGAGATCAAGAAACACTTTAGTAAACTTAAAATAGATTTGTCAAAATAAAAATTCAGTAGAATAGTTAAAAGATAAAGTTGAAATCTCTCACAATTAAAGAAAATAAGAAATAAAATTATTTTTCTGGGATTACCTCAAAATGAGGGAGGTGCGGAGAGTTGTG